TCTTTCTTGAGAAAGCAACACAGACACGACGCTTAGTAAACACAAGAGTCCCTCATATCCTCCCTCACCCAATTTCATCCTAAAGCATCTTTGCCTCACAGGGCTCAAAGATTGGAAAGATAAGGGGGTGACATGATCTACTGTAAGGGCTGAGTAGGGTTGGGTGATCATGGATTGTCTCACCTCTGGATGAGCAAAGATCACTTCATTGCACGAAGAGAATCCTTGGATCATCCATCTTCCTCTGTTGCATCTGAATGAGACAAGGTTTTTCGATCTTGGCAAACTTTTAAGACGCGTGGACTTCAGAATTTTCCAGAGAGCCATGGGAATTCTGGGAATTGAAGTCCACAGGTCGTTAGCGTTGCCAAGATTGAGAAATCCAGGGGTGAAGTGCTGCAGGGATCTGTACAGGTTACCCTCGACGTACAACTGTTTATTTAGTGACCGTTTGAAGTTACCACGGCAATAAAAATAGTGACTTTATGACTACTTTTCATACGTAACAACCATTGCAGCATTCCCAGGGTCACGTGTTCAAAATTCAGATCCTTGGAAACTTGAGTCCCATTATGATGATTGCCGCGTTCTGGGGTCACATGACTTTCTGATGAGCAAAGCCAACGGGAAGGCCAGATACACGAAACCGTGTTACTACCATGTTTCCCCCCCCCAAAAAAATAAGACCTATCCCAAAAATAAGACCGACCATGTTTTCTCCGTGTGTGTCCAAAATAAGCCCTACTTAAGTGCATTTGCAGCAGGCCACCAGCCCATTCCCTCTGGTTGCTCTCAGTGCCTCTGACACGAGGTGATGCGAGGAGGGTGGAGCTTCCCCGCACACACACTGGCTTACCTCAGGGCCCCCACCGCCAGCCCATCTACATCCCAACACCTGCCTCATGTTGTCAGCATCAGGAGCCACGCGCAGCTGCAGCCCACGTGGCTACAACGGAGCCACAACGGAGCAGGAGGCCAAGCAATGTGCCGGTGCCACGGCCATGAGGCAAGGCATGGGGAGAGCTGCCTCCATGCGCCTCGCATCAGCTTACCTCAGGGCCCCTGCAGCCAGGCCATCCACACCGCGACCAATGCCTCATCTTGCCGCCGCGGCTCCAGCAACCCCATCCGGCAAGACCCCACATGGCCACCGGCCCACTTCTTTTGCTTGCTCATGCCCGCACCAGAGCTGGAATCTGAGCGACATTGCCGCAGCCACAAGGCGAGGCGGGAGGATGGAGGACGAGGCGAGGCAGGTGGGGAGGGGGTGGAATCGCCACATGCAGACACTAGCTTACCTCAGGGAGGAGCCTGCAGTGAAATCAAGTTTGACACCCCTGATTTAATGGTAGATTTAAAGGGAATTATATTTTGACAACACCCCAACCCCACCGCGACAAAATGATTGAAAAAAGAAAGAGTTATTTCATCGGGTTCAAGAAAGCAATTGTGGAGGACTCTCTTAACGGCTTTCTGCAAACAGAAGAAGTTGGGTCTCCATATGGTCCGAAAATGGCGAGCCGAGTGCGGTCACCTCTGGCAACAGGTGCGCGGGGGAAATGCTAAGAAGCACAGGTGTGGATCAGGTCGGCAAGCATTATCGCCTGAACTGGAAGACAACCTCTGCGAATGGATTGCCGACAGGAGAGCAAAGGCTTCGGTTGTGCGCAGGGCAGATATCCAAGCATTGGCCCTTGCCATGGCACCACAACTTAGAAATATGCCCAGAAGAATTCAGAGCATTGCAACACGGGCTGGGTGGCTTCCTTCAGTGACAGGAACTGTCTCTTCAGTGGATCGACAACCCTACTCACGCTGGAGGAGGCCAAACTAGCGAAACAGGCACTCACATTCGTTGTGACCATCAGTCCTTCGTTGATGGTCTCGACTTTTCCAAAATACCAACTCCTCCACCGTGATTGCCATGAGTGAAGCGGCAGTGTTTGTGGGCCAAGTGTCTCAAAAGACAATTGACGGGACAGGCATCTCGTCGGTCTACGTTCCCTCCACTGGTTACAACAATGCATGTGTTACCGGCATTTTCGGCAATTCATCTGGATGGAAAGGAAGCCCCGCCTCTTAATCACCACCAAGGGCAAGAAAGATAAGATTGAGCGTGTTTCTGGCATTTACGTTCTTGAAACCGAAAAAGCCTGGTGCACATAAGGAGTTATACCGAAGTGGGTCGGTTTAAATGCTGCCACTTGTTGCGCATGGTGAGCAAAGAGGTCTGTTGGTGTGGGATTCAGCCAGCCCAAGACATTTCATGGCTAATCAGAGTTGGAAGGGCTCTTGTAGGCCATCTAGTCCAACCCCCCCGGCCAAGCGGGAAACCCTACACCATTTCTGACCAATGGCAGCCCAATCTCTTCCTGAACGTCTCAAGTGATGAAGCTCCCACAACTCCGAGGGCAACTTCTGTTCCATGGGTGGATTGTTCTCCCTGTCAGAAAGTTTCTCCTCATTTCCAGGTTGAATCTCTCCTTGTTCAGTTTCCATCCATTATTCCTTGTCTGGCCTTCGGGTGCTTTGGAAAATAGCTTGACCCCCCTCCTCCTCTCTGTGGTCTGAAGGAGTTCCTTGCAGAGAGATCAAATAATGATCCCTGCAGGAATGACAGCCCATCTCCAGGCTCTTGATATCGCGGTAAACAAGCCATTCAAGGACCATTTGCACATGGAAATCAATGACGACACGGAACACAGAATGGAGAGAAATCAGCGTGGAAACTCCGTGAAGCCTAGCCTGCCAGAGGTCGTGACGTGGTTGAAGAATTCATGGGATAAAATCATAGACACCTGTGTTGCCAATGCGCTACGAGCTGGCTACACAGACAAGCGGGGCTCATTTCAGGAGACCTCTGTTGCTAGACATGAGAGTGGGGCCAGTGGTTTGACTGGAAATGGAATTGCAAAAAATTCAGGCTGAAGTTCAGGCTTTGGAGGGTTATAGGACAATGTTCCAGAAGAAGATGACATGACTGTATTTGAATAAATGTAGATTGTTGTACATCAGCATTGTGGTTGCCCTGTGTGTTTTTTTTGGGGGGGGGGGGGGGGTTAGGGATAAAGTTAGGCATTGTGGATTAGGGTGAGGCATGGATGGCCTGGCTGCTGGGTCCCTGAGGTAAGCTGGTGTGGGGCAACTCCACACATCCCTGCCTCATCTCGTGACTCGGCCTCCTACTCTGGTGCTGCGCTGGTGCCAGAAGTAGTAGGCTGGCAGCCCACGGAGTCTTGCTGGATGAGATTGCTGGAGTCACCTCCGTGAGGCAAGGAAGGTGTCGGGGCCATGGATGGCCTGGTTGCGGGGGCCCTGAGGTAAGCCGATGCGGGGAGCGTGGGCAGCTCCTCTGTCCTCACCTTGTGGCAGCAGCACTCAAAACCAATAAAACATCTCCCAAAATAAGCCCTAGTGCTTATTTCGGAGCCCAAAAGAAAATAAGGCCAGGTCTTATTTTGGGGGAAACACAGGTAGCTTAACAACTGCAGTGACTGATTTAGCACCTGTGGCAAGAAAAGTTGTGAAATCAGGCAAAATCCACTTCACAAATGTCTCACTTACCCATAGAAATTTGGGGCTCAGTTGTGGTCGTAAGTTGAGGAACGCCTGCAGTGGATAGATCGTTTGAACTAGATCTGGTCCCCAATAAGTTTTCCTAATTCAGCAGCCCACTCCAGCTTTTCCAGTGTCCAAAAAGGCAGGCACTTCACATGATTATAGCAATCTCTGAGATCTATTCGTGCAGGCAGTATATAATTTCCCAAATAAGTCAACAGACCACTCATTTCTAGCCTATACATTGCTAGACTCTAAGCTTGAGAATGTGAAGGTCAATCCAAGTGATCATTTTCTTTTAACCTCTGTTTTCGGTTTTGTTCTTTCGGGGCTTTAGAAGCCTGGTAATCTTCAATTATTTTGTCATTAGAAAATGAAGAATAGATCCCAGCTACCGTTGAATAGGAGGGAGACCAGAGATGAGGAGTCAAGTTTAGTGCAGAGGTTAAAGTGGTAGCTAAGAAACCAGGAGACAGAGAGTTCTAGTCCTGCTTTAGGCATGAAAAGTGGCTGGGTGACTTTGGGCCACCCTAATACCTTCAGTCCTTCCAAGGTTGGTAAAACGAGGACCCAGATTGTTGGGGGCCGTATGCTGACTCTGCAAACTGCTTCAAGAGGTCTGTAGAGCTCTGTGGATGTTACTGCTATCGCTATCACCATTTTTAACCTTCCCAGACAGCTGCCAACAAGCAGGGTCAATGGAAGAAGCCAGGTTCACTTAACAACCGTGGGATTCACTAAATGACTGCAGTGATCCACTTAACGACTGCGGTAAAAAGATGGTAGAATAAGGCCAAAACTTGTTAAGGTTTTGGGATTTAAGAGCTGACCAGCAGTGAAGCTGACCAGTTGTGGCTGATGCAATAAGAATGAATCAGCCTAGCATGGGTGTTTCCCTTTAAGACTGGGGAAGGGTTCTACCCCTTTAAGAGGTGTTTATATAAAGGCAGCCATTAGGGGGCGTGTTCTCTCTCCTTGTGTCTGGTATTCATTGCAGAAGTTCTCCATGTAGAGTTAAGAAGAAGAAAGATTGCTTGTAAGGTATTTTGCCTACCAGGTATATGTCTGTATATAACCGTTGTATATAAACCACTGTTAAATGTCTATGTGCTGTGTTTTTCTCCTGGCTTGTCTCATAATGGTAGTCACGCTGCCAAACGCTCCGACAAAAAACTCTTAGCAATAGCACTTTGACTTAAATACCACTTCACAGTGCTTTAAACCCCCCTCTAAGCGGTTAACAGAGTCAGCCTCCGTCCCCCAACAATCTGGGTCTTCATTTTACCCACCCCGGAAGGACGGAAGGCCGAGTTGACCTTGAGCCCATCAGGACTGAACTCCTAGCTGTGGACAAAGTCAATGTGCAATCCTGCCTTCTGATGATTCTGCTATTGCGGCCCTTAGCATCTGCACTGCTTAGCAATGGACATTGGGGTGGGGTGGGGAGGTGGCCGTAAGTCAAGGACTACCCCTAAAAGTCTGACCCTTGTTGAAACCCACTTTTCTCGATTTCCCCCCGCAGGAGAATGCCGGCCGAAGGTGCGCCACTCCAAAGCCAAAGGGGAAAGGAAGAAGAAACAGCAGCTGCCGTTGCACGAACTCCTTCCTCCCCTGCTCCTGCCCCAGCCCTACCTGCCCAAGGATGAGAAGCCGCATCCCAGCCCTCTGGCGGGAGAAAGGTCCATGGAGGCCAAGAACCTGGCCGAGGACAGCCAGCTCGCCATGCCCGACCTCAGCGCCCTCTTTTCCGAAAGTGCCGCCGAAGAGGACGACTCCAAACAACGGCCCATCATCCCCATGCTCTACGTGGTGCCCCAGTGCAAGAAGGCCCCCGCCGAGAAGAAACGCCTGACCTGCCAGGAGGTCTTTGAGCGGTTTGTGAAGAAGGACCAGATGGTCCCCTTGGAGCTGGACAGGAAAGGCAACGACGACGACGGCGTCAAGGCAGAGAGCGTGGAGGGGCCGGCCGAGCCCAGTAAATTGCAGGTAAGCCAGCCGTGTGAAGAAGAGAGTTGGAAGGGGCCTTGGGGGGGGGGGGGGGTCTTTTAGTCCAATCCCCTGCTCAGGAGACCCTAGGCCAGCATCGATAAATGTCCATGGAGATTCTCAGTCATCCAGGTCCTAATTATCCCAAAGGTGCTTTTTCAAGAGACCACTGGACTTTCCGGTTTTCCTTGGAAAAGACGTTTCGCTTCTCATCCGAGAAACCTTCTTCAGCTCAGAGCTGAAGGAGCTTCTTGCTTGAGAAGCAAAACGCCTTTTTCCAAGAAAATCCCCCGGAAAGTCCAGTTGCTTCTTGAAAAAGCACCTTTGGGACATTATAAACAAATGGCTGTCTAATCTCTCCTTAAAAACTTCCACTGTTGGAGCATTCACAACTTCCGGAGGCAAGTTGTTCCACTGGTTAATTGTTCTCACCATAAAGAAATTCCTCCTTAGTTCCAAGTTGCTTCTTTCCTTGATTAGGTTTCCACCCGTTGCTTCTTGTCCTGCCTTCAGGTGCTCTGGAGAACAGCTTGACCCGCTCTTCTTTGGGGCAGCCCTTTAGATATTGGACATGATAGCAGTCTTCTAATATCTGAGGGGCTGCCCCAAAGAAGAGGGAGTCAGGCTATTCTCCAGAGCACCTGAAGGCAGGACAAGAAGGAACGGGTGGAAACTAATCAAGGAGAGAGAAGCAACCTGGAATTAAGGAGAAATTTCCTGACAGTTAGAACAATAATCAGTGGAACTGCTTGCCTCCAGAAGGTGTGAATGCTCCAACACTGGAAGCTTTTAAGAAGAGATTGGACAGACGTTTGTCTGAAATAGTATAGGGTCTCCTGCCTTTGAAGGGGGTTGGAGTAGAAGACCTCCAAGGACCCTTCCAACTCTATTCTATGCTGTTAACGCAGACCTAGTGAAAAGAGACTTGCTAATCTTCCTTTCTGAGTTAAAAAATTTTCTATGCATATTTTTCCTCATTGTTTCCTTCTTTTGTTTAAAACTCAGAAATGAAACAAGGTTTGTTTTCAGGTGGAAAAGGCCGTGTATTTTTAATGCACAGTTTGAAACGGTAGCATGGCTACCTGGTCACTGTTCCTGTTTTAGATCTCTAATGTCTACCTTTTTTTCTGTAATCTCTGAGATGTTAAGACCTGGCTGAATTTATTGCCTACAAATTGTCACACGGGCTCCTGTTCCAAAGTACTTCAAAGAGCTGGCTAGCTTTTTCTTCCACCCTAGTGTATTGTTCTCTTCTTCCTTTCTCTGCTTGTTTCACACTCATCTTCCCTGCCCTTAGAGCTGTAGAAATGTAGTATTGGTTGAACATGCAGTTTGCGGCTGGGCCGGCAATTGGGCAGGATGAACACAAAATGAAATGTGTTTCTCCGGCTTAGCGCTTTGGGTGCTTTGATAGCAGTTTGTGGGGAGGGAAACATTCTCTAGAAGTATTTTTTGGATTATTTTTTTAAAAAAAGAATAATGCTATGGAAATCTTATTGGTAGATGTCTGGAATGGATTGCATGTTTTGTTAGTCCGTGGTGTTGTGTGGTGTGAACACAGCCTCACCTTTTCCCAGACCATACTCTACAGTTTTCGGTTGTGCGATTTTAAAAAGCCTCCCATGGCAAGAGTGAAATGTTGCAAATTAAAACGTTCCTTTGATGACCCGGGACATGACACAAAGGCAACTCAGGCAGAGAATAATTATGGGTCCCTTTATTAACTCCAACTTTGCCCCCAATGTTCCAGTTACCTTCCGGTCTGGAGAAAAACTCTCCCAGGAACCTGCAACAGCCTTTGGCTGCAGATATTCCAATCTAAACCTTGTAAACAGAAAACTTTAAATTATAAATCCAATAAGGCAAAATAAGGTAATAAATCAGGCAGGGCAAGATAAGGAGTTCCAGAAGTGAAGTAATATGGCAGTAAATCAATCCAGTTGGGAGGATGCCAGGAACTCAGATAACAGCAGTCAACACTAGATAAACTCAGTTTGTTCCCAGCAAACGCAGCTCCCATCTGCCTGTCCTTTAAACTCCATCCCCAGGTGTGCCTTGTGAAGGGAATCAGGGCCCCTTCCTCCCTCGTAAGCCATGCAACCCACATTGCTCTCTTCTCCGTTCTTCCCTGCGTGCCCTGGGATGAAGAAGGGGTGGACCTGCGTCTTCCTCTGAACCTCTCTCCCTTGTTCAACCTCTCCCCTGCTCTGCCCAGCCTGACTTTGCGCTTCCCCAGTTTCCTCCACAGCCAATGGAGCTACTCTCCCGCTCTCTGTCAGCTGTTCGTCTTCATGACAATTCCTCTCCCTTCCTGGTGCCTTTTTTCCTAAGCAAGAGCGCTTACAATTTTCCCATCGGTTTGTCCTTATAGTGCCGCCTTCTGCTACGGGTTTTCAAATCTGTGGATAGATTTGAACCTGTTTTGAAGGTTGGTTTTTCAGGCACCGCACCCCAACCTCGTTCTTCAGAAATGCAGCTCCATGGGTGACGGTTTTACGAATGCCGGAGCTCCTTTCAGTGCAGAGCAATTAACCGCTTGGTGCCTCCTCTCCTAAAATGTTTATCGTGTCCCCTCACTCACGGCTAGACCTTGTCCTGAGAATGCTACAGTCACTAGCCAATCCAGCTGTGAGGCTTAAGAAATCGCCTTGGATGACAGGATAGACTGGATTGGTTAAAGTCCATGATGGCTTGTTTGTGACGGTGTGTGAGATAATTCTCCCCTGGTTTATAAGCTGGGTCACTTTCCTTCTGAGTTACGAAGTGAAACAGGCGGGAAAAGACCAGAAGGGGAATGTCCATCCATCCATCCCAACACAGAAAAAAATAACTGCAGAAAAAGACCTAGTGGCCCATCGAGTTTGCTCTTTGAGTTGATTTGTTTTTGTTTGTTTGTGTATTTATTTAAATTATTATTTTAGGTGCGCTGAAGGTGCGCTGCAGGCAAACGAAACTGCACAGGCGCGAGATCTAGGTTGCGCACTCTTCCTCCCTGTCCCCCCCCCCAAAAAATATTAGGGACCACTGACATAACCAACCCAATTTAATGACCTTTTTTCCCACGGTCATTAAGCATCGTAAGCCCATTGTTCGCTATGGCACAGTTTTGCCGAAAAAGCGAGCAAACTTTTGCTCTTTGGCATAAAATGCAGTCATGTGACTGGGGGACACTACCAACGGCCATGCGGTCAAGTCTGGCCAGATGGCCACAGGGGAGCGACCGTCAGAACTCCTCCCCCCACCCTTTTTTTTTTGGGCAATGAGTCCGAACTTGGAAGAATCGTAAAGCAGATTAGCTGAGAATTATGGGGAAAGGCAGCCTCTACGTCTCTGAAAGGCACCCAGCGCGGAGAGCCACCGGACATGAGGCTTAATTTTGTCACATTTAAAAGTCACTTTCTAGCGCAATGTGATAAGAAGTTCTTAACAGCTCACTGGGCAGGTTCTTTCTCTGTGTCCTTCTCATCCAAGTCTTGTTTTTGTCTTTTTGTGTTGGCGGTCCTACTTCCAAATAACTCAGTCCCACCTGACACTCCAGAGAGACCGGAGAGTGGCTTCGGGGTAACGTCTGTGTAATATTCCTTCTCTTGTAAGAAAGCCTTCAGAACCCCTTCATACCCACCGAAGCCTCCCTACTCTGTAAATGTTTTGGAGATTCTCCGTCATCCAGGTCACGGTTGTCGCAAAGGTGCTTTTTCAAGAGGCAACTTAATTTTCTTGTTTTTCCTTTGAAGACGTTTCGCTTCTCATCCAAGAAGCTTCTTCAGCTCTGACTGGATGGTGGGGAATGGGAGGGTTTATGCTCCTCGCAGACAGCTGGTCATTTGCATCCTTGAGTCGTTGAGGCCACTTGGAGGTTTATCTCTGTCCTCGGGGTCACCTGAGCGAGGCAAATGGGTGCGGAGCCTTCTTGGAACTGCTGAAAGGACTGTGTTGTAGACTGCAGAGAGATGGTGCCGTATCCTTCCCCCTTGGTTGAGAAAAGGCTGGCCAACTTTTACACAGATGGTCTCTTTAACCCCTCTTTCAAACCAGAAGTTCCCTCAGAGTGGCCTATGGCTTTTAAATGCAGGTAGACTGCTGAATCGTGTCCTGATGAGTTTGTTCTTCTGTGTTGTGCCAGGTGCTTATGAAGTGGTTGTTTCCCCAATGTACAGATCTGCACATGGCTCATGTGCAAATGACCAGCTGCCTGCAGGGAGTATAAAAAAAGGAAGGGAGAGAGGAAGAAAATGAAAGGAAGGAAGGAAGGAAGGAAGGAAGGAAGGAAGGACAGACAGTATTACTGGAATTAATTGGGCTGTACAAGAGGCTTGAAATACAATGCTAAAATTAAAAACTGATTATGAATTTACAGAGTAGAACTGGTGGCTTCTGAGATTATGAAACTGCAGTTATTGAAATAATGTCCAGAGAAAGAGACTGAGGAAGGAAGGAAGGGAGGGAGGGAGGAAAAGAAAGCAAAAGAAGGAAGGAGAAAGGGGAAAGGAAGGAAGGAAGAAAGGAAGAAAGAAAGAAAGAAAGAAAGAAAGACACCTGACCTCTTTCCCACAGTATCTTTAGGCCAAGCATTGGACAGAGCGATCAAACATGCAAAACTTTCGAAAGAGTATTACTTGTGTCAGAGTTTAATAGCCACAACGTTAGAATAAAACTACCAGTAAATCTTAAGTCTCCAGGCATAATAGCCAGATGACCTATGACAGCAAAGAACTTGGCTTGCCCAAGAAGAGAGTAGTTCCGAAGGTCGCTGGAACAAGGGACACCAAAACAAGAAACCCAGACAAGCCTTTATAACCCAACCCTCTGCCTTCCAAAATTTGTTCGTGTGTGTCTTGTGTTTCTTTCTGTCGCCAGCTGCCCACTGTCTTCTTAGCCCTAGTAAGGTCCATCTAGACTGGTGCTTAGCAACATCCCCGTGAACATTTCAGCATGCTGGCTGAGGAATTCTGTTAATTTATGGACTCTCAAACATTCTTATCTTTAGAAAAGAATATTTATAGCTCATGGTTGAACTCTGAGGGGTCCTTGATGCTCTCTGAGCTTGGTGGTTTTCTTCCAGACATTTCATGACCAAAGTTGGTTGCATCATCAGTGTGGTACTAGCACTGGCTATGTTCCCTAGTCACATCTACTGAGGATATTACAACTAATTTTCAATTAGCGACCACAGTGGAGCTCAAAATTTCCATTGCTAAGCGAGACAGTTGTTCAGTGAGCTTTTGCCCCATTTTACGACCTTTTCTTGCCACAGTTGTTCAAGTGAATCACTGCACTTGTAAAGTTAATGACACAGTTGTTAAGTGAATCTGGCTTGCCCGTGGTCAGAAGATCGCAAAAGGGGAAGACTCTGGGACACGGCTACCGTCATAGATACAAGTCAGTTGCCAGGCATCTGAATTTTGATCACGTGACCACAGGGACGCTGCAGTGGTTGCAAGTGTGAAAAACGGTCATAACTTTCAGTGCTGTTGTAACTTCAAATGGTCCAATTCTTTGGTTTGAAGGTTTGATTTTAACTTTTGATACGTTAACTTAGTTGTAACTGTACGCCGCCCAGAATTATCCTATGGTAAGATGGGCAGTCGATACATTTTATCAACAAATAAATTTGATAAATTAACAAATAAGTACAGGTGTCAGCATTCCAGAAACCCTCCATTCTGCCCAAGAACTCTGAGACAGACATCTTCTCAAAGGTTCCTTTTTATTTGGATAGTAAACTGGCACAACTGGGGAATCCCGAATCTGAAAGTTCCGGGCTTCCTTACAATAAGTAGAAACTACAAAATCCATCCCCCTGCACCCATCATCACATCACATGGCCCAATCACCATCCGCCCCAAGTTAAGACTTCCGCTCACTTAGGTGCAACACAACGTGACCTTGAATCAGAAAAAAAGAATGTTATTATGTCTAACTAGAATTACTCCAATAAATTCCCCCCTCCCACTTTCCCAGGCACAAAATGTGAAAGCGTGGGAGCATCGGATCTCAATATGGCTTCCAAAGATGGACAACAGGGCTACCTGTCAACCCCTGAAGCTGGCCTGACCGAGTCCATTTTCTGGGCTTCAGTGTTGCCACACTGGAGCTGAGGGGCTAGGGAGGGGGCGGGGAATAGAGATAGATGGGGCTTGTAGCCCAAACAAAATACTTTCTCCTGGGAACCCAGGACATTCCCACAGGTGGTCAGAGAGAGGAGGAGTGAAATTACCAGGCCACTGGAAGACATAATGGTTGGACCACGTGACTGATCATTTGGGGAAGGGGGAAGACTTTTAAGTAGGTGAAAACCGCGGGAATTGCTAGAGTCGGCTTTCACCAGTCTGTGCCAAGATGATATATCCAATAAAACAGTCCTTTGAGGAATAGAACTGCCTCGGAATGCTATTTGCTATGGTTGTATCACTTGGAACCCTGACACTACTTGAACTTTGTGGTCTCATGAAACCCCTGCAAGAACCACCCGCCCAAGTTCTGGAGAGCAACAAGGACCCCACTTTCGTCAACTTCGCTGAGGCTGAGCAACTACCGTTCTAGACTCCCGTGTGGCGCGTTGGGCCGGCCAGTTATCGGGGGCAGGGGTCTCCCGCCCCTGTGGCTCAGCTACGGGGGAAAGCTCTTGTGTCACATTTTTAGCGTTAAGTAATCCACCTTCCCCTGTTGCAGGCTGTCCTACGCTTGGACGATATCACCCTGTGGAGGATCCCTAAAAGGGAGAGGCGGGAGTTATTCAAGCGCGTTTGCGGCAAGCCGGCGAGGTACGCGGCGGCCCTGTTCCGACGGATGGTCCCCCCAGATGAGCTGCGGAGGTGGCGAAGCGCCGTTAGCTATTACGGGGGCAGAGGGAAGCGCGCCCTGCCCCACAACCTGGTGTTCCGCTTGCGGCACCTCTTGTACAGGCAGTACTCGGACATTATGGCGGCCGACTGGAGAAAAATCCGGTTGAAAATCAACAAGATCCTGGGGGCTTGATGGGGGAATCCGGGCCTTTGCTGCTGCACGGCTCTCCCGTAGGGATCTTGTTGTTTCTGGCAGGCTGGGCCGGAAGCCTTCCCAAAAGACGAGACTGTGGCGACCTGTTGAAGTGTTCTGGGCCAAAGCTGGACTCTTTTTTGTGTGTCTGTGGTTGTGCTGGTGGCCCGTGATGGGCACAGCAGGGGCCACCTGTTCCCTTGTCTGGCTGTGAAAAGTTGGGCCTTGCCAACCCAGCAATAAATGTTTTGGTTTTTTTTTAATGCATTGTCTTCTGACCAGTGTGATTCCCTTCTTTATTTGCTCTTTTGATCTCCGGGGAGGAGATAATATGGCGTACCAAAATGCCCAACAGACCAGGGTTTGGCCAGCATTGCCTCAAAGGGGGAAAGTGGAATGAAGCTTTCTTGATGTCCTCACAGAGGCAAAAGGGAAAATGGTTTGCAGGAAATGCAGGTCGTCCTCAACTTACCACCACAATTGAGACCCAAATTTCTGTTGCTCCATGAAATAGTTATTAAAGTGAGTTTTGCCCCATTTTCTTGCCATAGTTGTTAAGTGAATCTGGCTTTCTCATTGACTTTGCTTTGTCAGAAAGTTACAAAAGGCTGTTCCCAGCACCCTGCAACCGTCATAAATATGAGTCAGGTGCCAAACGTCTGAATTTTCATCACGTAACCACAGCGATGCTGCCGTGGTTGTAAGTGTGAAAAACAATCTTTAAGTTTAAAAAAAATTTCAAAGCTGTTGTAACTTCCAGCGAACCGTTGTAAGTCGAGGACTACTTGTATATCTCAAGCCCAGTGGCGATGTACAGATTTAAGTTATATACCATCCAGGTTCCAAGAACTGATGTATGCTTACTAAGAGAGCGATTAACACCATAAAAGGAGGGGGAAAATATATATATTTTTCTGGATACAAGTGAGAAGAAACCATGCTGGTGGGTTTATTTTTGGGGATAATTCTGCAAAATAATGCAAATAAGACATCAAGATCTTTCTGGTATAAAATTGGGCACTTTGGAAAATGCTAAATATTGTACGTTCACTGCTCTAACAATACTGCATCATTATTGCTAAGCAACCCTTTCTTTTGCTCTCTGACAAAGCATTTCTCACCTAATAATTGGTTGCATGGCTTTACACAGAGATGTCTTGCACTCTCTCTCTATATATGTGAGCAGGTAGGTGTGTCACGGCTAAGCATTTGTCAGTTTTCTCCGAAAACAACTCAGGATTTGTAAGGGACCAAAAGAGGAAACAAACGGATGCCTGGATTTGAACTGGAATCGGAGGGACCAGAAGCCTGGGAAATGGAAAGAAATCATGTCTTTGAACGGAAATGTTAAGATGCTCTCATAAAAGGGTGGTTCTATGTCTTCATCCACACCAGGTTTACCACAGATAGTCCACGACTACAATCGAGCCCAACATTTATGTTGCTAAGTGAGAAATTTGTTAAGTGAGTTTTGCTCCATTTTACGACTTTTCTGGCTACGTTTGTTAATCAAATCACCGCAGTTGTTAAATTAGCAACATGGTCGTTAAGCGAATCCGGCTTCCCTGTTGACTTTGCTTCTCAGAAGTTGGCAAAAGGGGAATCACATGACCCGGGAGACATTGCACCCGTCATAAATATGTGTTTGTGGCCTATGGAACTCCTTGCCCCATGAAGTGTTCTGACCCAAGCCTTGTTCAAATCAGAATATGTATAAAAGCAACCCTTTTTAATGTGGTGCTGTGAACTCTGTGCATTCACAGCCAAGAGTCGTTCAAAACTAATCGTCCCAGATAAGAGCAAGCCCTTCTTTCAAGGTTGCAAAAGGCTGCCAAGAATATCCCAAGCCAGAAGTTTCAAAAAAACAAACCGGAGTAAGCAGGGCTTCAACGAGAACTCAACGATTAGAAAGAGCTTCTTTGCTTCCTGCAAAGAAGCCAACCCCAAAGGCTGGCTTTTATCCCTTATGGGAGGGCCCAACACCTTCCAGCCTTACTCCAGAGTCTCCCATGCTGCTTCAGCTGCTGTTTCCTTCAAGCAGCCCTGTTCACACGTGCACTGGGCACAGGGTCCTCTTCATCACTGCTGCCAGACTCCCCAACCTCCAAAGGCAGCACCCCACTCTCCGATAGTCCTGGCCCCATCCTGGCTTCTCACACAGGCCCCTCGTCCGAATCCTCACTGTCAGAGACCTCAGCCATCCATACCTGCTGCCAGCAAACCACAACATAAAAGTTTAGCAGGGCTCCATCCTTTCATCCTTCCTGAAGGCTTGCCCTAACAGCTCGATCAATAAACTAGCAGGCGTCTCATGACCTAACTAGATAACTTCATCAGTGCTAGAGTGGAGTGGAGTTTGCTCTCTGTTTACATACTATGGCTTGTCCTGTCAGTATTGGCAGGAGTGTGGTTTCCGTTTTGCTAGTTTCTTGGTTAGGTGTGTACAATATCTGGTGGATGGGACTAGTATTATGCCCATAATAGGTAGTATTATACTCACCTTCTCTAACCTGGTACGACAGGTAGATTTTAAGGAAAGTTAATCCCTCAGATTGCCTGGTTCTGTGCCATCGTGGGCTTGAAGGTGATAATCAGCAGTTTGAATAACACCCTGTATCTGTTAGGTTAGAATAACAGATAATCAGAGTTGGAAGGGACTTTGTAGGTCATCTAGTCCACCCCCCCCCCCCCGCCGCCCAAGCGGGAGACCCTACACCATTTCTGACAAATGGCAGTTCAATCTCTCTTGAAGGTCTCAAGTGATGGCGCTCCCACAACTTCCGAGAGCAACTTCTGTTCCATGGGTTGATTGTTCTGTCAAAAAGTTTCTCCTTATTTCCAGGTTGAATCTCTCCTTGTTCAGTTTCCATCCATTATTCCTTGTCTGGCCTTCAGGTACCTTGGAAAATAGCTTGACTCCCCTTCCTCCTCTCTGTGGCAGCCCCTCAAATACTGGAAGGCCGCTATCCTGTCTCCCCTGGTCCTTCTCTTCCCTAGACTAGCCAGGCCCAGTTCCTGCAACCAATCTTCATATGTTTTCATCTCCAGTCCCCTCATCATCCTGGTTGCTTTTCTCTGTACTTTTTCTACAGTCTCAACATCTTTTTTGTAATGTGGTGACCAAAACTGGATGCAGAACTCTAGGTGTGGTCTTACTAAGGCTTTATAGAGTGGTATTAGTACTTCCCTTGATCTCGATTGCATCCCTCTGTTGATGCAACTTAGGATTGATTGCATTAGCTTTTTTGGCTGCTGCTGCACACGGCTGGCTCCTATTGAGCTGGTTGTCCACTAAGACTCCAAGATCCCTGTCACAGTTCCTGCTACTGAGCCTGGTTTCACCCGGTTCATATGTGTCCTTTGGGTTTTTCTTGCCTAAGTGTAGGACTTTCCTTTTCTCTACATTGAATTTCATTTAGTTAGATACGGCCCAGTGTTCCAGTCTGTCAAGATCCCTCTCGATCTTGAACCTATCTTCTTGGGTGTTGGCTATTCCTGCCATAGCTTTAATTGGGCAAGATTCTGTCTATAGGTAGTCCTCGACTTACAACGGTTCATTTGGTGACCGTTCCAAAGTTACAACGGCACTGAAAAAAAAGTGACTTAGGACCATTTTTCACACTTTACGACCCTTGCGGCATTCCCCCCCTGGTCACATGATCAAAATTAAGTCCCTAGGCCATTGGTTCCTATTTATGACAGTTGCCGTGTCCCAAGGTCACCTGATCCCCGCTTGCGTCCTTCTGACAAGTCAAGTCAATGCAAAATCCAGGTTCACTTAGCAACCGTGTTGCTAATTTAACGAACGCAGCAATTCCCTTAACGTGTGGCAAGGTCGTAAAATGGGGGCAAACTGAACTTAAATGTTCCACTTACATAAACGTTGGGCTCAACTGGGATCGTAACTCGAGGCTTACCTGTATTAGGTGTCAGCAGTAACAATCTTCATTCAAATGCATCTCACTGGGTCAGCTCCAGGGCCTGTCCCTCACACCTTCAGGCCTTCTAGGGGGAGGAAAAGGTTTTTGCAACAACCAAACTCAGAGAGCACCGAGAACTCCGTCCACAGTTCGGTCCTGGGCTACAAATATTTTCTCGTATGGATAAGCATCTGTGGCTGAAATGGTAGCATCAGGAGGATAAGCGGACCAGAAAAGGTTGAACGGCAGCAGCAGCAATAACAACAACAATAATAATAAAGCATTAAAGGTTTAACCTTGGACCTTTGCCTCTTTACACCACGACGAGTAGTCCTCGATCCCAGCATTTCTGTTACTAACTGAAACATTTGTCAAGTGAGTTTTGCCCCCATTTTAATGACCTTTCTTGCAACCAGCTGTTAAGTGCAGGGGTCTCCAACCTTAGCAAAACTGGCTGAGGAACTCTGGGAGTTGAAGTCCACAAGTCTTAAAGTTGCCAAGGTTGGAGACCCCTGTTAAGTGAGTAGCACGGTGGTTCAGGGAACGAGGTCTCCCCCTTGGACTCTGCTTGTCAGAAGGTTGCAAAAGGAGATCACGTGACCTCTGGACACCGCGGCCGTCGTAAATATGAATCAGTCGCCAAGCTTCTGGATTTTGATCAGGGGACCATCAGGATGCTGCAAAAACGGTGTGAAAGACGATCGTAAGTTGTTGGTTTTTTTTAGAGACCGTTGTAACTTCGAACGGTCTCTTAAATGATGTGGTAAGTCAAGGACTACCTGTATTGTTCACGTTGTAAGGTATGCAAAATAATGTGCTCTCTCTCTTTTTTTTTCTTTCTTTTTTTCCTTCTTTTCTTTTTGTTGGCCTTTTTCTCTTCCAGACGACTTCTACTTTCTCGAAACTCAAAATGGAGATCAAGAAAAGCCGCCGTCACCCTCTGGGGAAGCCGCCCACCCGCTCCCCGTTGTCGGTGGTGAAGCAGGAAGCCTCCAGTGATGAAGGTGAGTCCAAAAAGGGGAAAACGAGGCCTGCTTATGAACAGACCAGGGTTTAGTCATTCCTCCGGTTGCCCTGGGCAACAGAGCCGCAAATGGGCTGGAAGAAGAATTACTCTTCAATCCTCTTTTGCCAAGAGGCTCCAACCTTTGCCGGCTGCGGAGGAACCATGGTTAGCCTCAAAGCCCACCTGGGCAGGTTTTGAAAGGATGACACCTTCTCATCTTCCCACCGTTTGGGGGCTTTATTTGACAAAAATCACAGCCTGCTTCATCTCTTAACCAGAGTCATAAAAACACTAGCAGCTTAGTACATTTTAGGGAGGTTTTTTTTTTTTTTTAAAAAAGCAGCTTGTTAAAGGTA